TTTTGTTTGTTTTTTTTTTTGGTTTGGTTTGGTTTGGTTTGGTTTGGTTTGGTTTGGTTTGGTTGAATTGTTTGTTAGGATGGTCCTGAGCTCAATCCCTGGTACAAAAAAAAAAAAAAAAGGACTATGTTATGTACATGTACCAACTCGCCATGACAAATGCAATCATTACTCACAGGAAATACACCAATAAAATTTGAGAGGCAAGTGTGCTGGCACATGCCTGTAATCCCCATACTCAGGAGGCTGAGGTAAGAGGATCACCAGGAGTTTAAGACCAGCTTGAAATAGGTAGTGCCTCAAAAAACAAAAAATAGGTATTTTTTAACCCCAGTGTGGTTTCACATACCTGTGATCCCAGCACCCCCTGGGAGGCTGAGGCAGCAAGTTTGCCATGAGTTTGAGGCCAGCCCTGGCTCCAAAGTGAATTCAAGTCTAGCCTCAACTTCATAGTGATACCTTGTCTCCAAAAAAAAAGTTTTCCAAAATGGAAAGAGAAACTGGGATGGCTGAATGAAGAAAAGAAGGGAAAAGCAACACACACACAAGATGGTTAAGATAGTTACACGACTGATTTTTCTTAGTTCATTGAAAAGAAAGGTTTGTGATACTATTGTTCGGGGCAATTAAATGCCAATATCTTGTACGTTGTGTGTGGGGTTTTGTTGTGTTTTTTTTGTTTGTTTTGTTTTTTGTGGAACCAGGGATTGAACCTTGTGCTTGCCAGGAAAGTGCTTATTCTACTGAGCCATCTCCCCAGCCCCAAATATCTTGTACTTTGAGTAACTAATTTAAAGGTAACAATATGCAATGTATTAACCATTGTTACTCAGTTATCTTGTTTTGAAATTTTGAGGGTTTTTTCCTCTTTAAAAAAAGAAAAAAAGCAAAGTGAATTAAAGGCCAAGCCTGAACCACACAGCAAGCTCTTGTCTCAACAACAGCCAAACAAAAACAAAACTAGGGGCCAGGGAGATAGCTCAGTAGAATAAGTGCTTGCCTGGCAAGTGCAGGGTCCTGAGTTCAATCACTGGTACCACAAAAAAGAAAAAAAAAAAAAAACAGGTCTGGGGCCAATCTGGGTGTCTCAATTACTTTTCTCATTGCTGGAATAAAACATCCAACACCCAAAGTTAAGGGGAAAAGGTTTATGTAGCTCACAGTTTATAGAGGTTTCAGTCCATAGTCATCTGACATCCAGACACAAACAATAAGTAACATTGGGCAATTTAATGAAATGCTGTCTCAAAATTGGAAGGAAAAAAAGAAGGGCAGTGGTTGGGCTGGGGATGTAACTCTGGTAATAATAGTGTGCTTGGCTACCATGCATGAGGCCTTGGTTCAAACCCTAGTACCATTTAAAACTAGAAGAGAAAGGAAGGAAAAGGAAGAGGAGAACAGAAGGAGAAGACAGCAGCAGCAGAAGCCTACTGTAGTGGTCCAAGTGAAAGGTAATGAGACACATAACAGAAAAAATAGGAGGTGTATATTTGTGAACCAGTTTGGAGTTGGGCTTGCCATAACTTGATTTTTAAATGGAAGGGTAAAAGCAAAGGGACTAGACATATTGTGAGAAGATACTGGAGAGAATACTGATATAACTGAAAAAAAGTCACAAGATAGCAAAGTAATTTTAGGAGAAAATGGTAAATTGCAATGTAGTATTTTACTTGAGGAACCAGGGATTAGAACTCAAGCCCTTGCGCTTGCCAAGCAAGCACTTATTCTACTGAGCTATCTCCCTGCCCCTACAACTTATCAGTGAAGGTTCCTAGCTTTTCCACAGCAGTTGCTATAATTCTGAGACTCAAGTGCCTCTTTTTTTTTTTTTTTTTTTTTTGCCTCTCTACTTGGCTCTTCTGAAAAGATGAGGGTTTTGTTGTTTTGTTTTGTTTGAACATATTTGGAACATGGTCTCACTATTCCAGCGCGGATTCCTAACGATCCTCCTGTCTCAGCATCCCCAACGCTGAGATTACAGGCATGTGCCACCACACTGGGTCTCAGGGGCAGGCTCATCACGCCCAGGTGTGGGCATGTGGTGCCAGGATGAAAAGATGAGGAGGTATTTATTTTTGCAGAACCGAGGATTGAACTCTGGTCCTTGCGTTTGCCAGGGAAGCGCATATTCCACTGAGCCATCTCCCCGGCCCTGAAAAGATGAGTTTTGAACTTACATGATTTAAGGTAGTTTATCATACCTCTGAGTAAAAGAAAGCAGTGTCCCCTGCCCAGAAAAACTTGAACTCTATATTTAGCTCTGGCTTTAAGTCACTAGGACAAGTGGAAGGAGAAACTTCTGGAATCTTCAACCTCTAGAGCCACGCTTATTTATTTCAAATTGAAACTTGTTTTGAAAATTGAGCCACGCTTGTAACTTACGCCATACATTGGGACACCCTGAATGTCTCTCCTGATATCACTATTTCACAATTGTGCATCGCCTTTCTATATTTTTATAAATGTAACTTTTTTTTAAAAAACTGGGAATTGAACTCAGGTCTTGCTCTTGCCAGGCAGGCACTGTGCCACTGAGCTATATCCCCAGTCCCATTTTTCGTAAATGAAACGTAGTTGAGCAAATTTAACTCAAGAGTCCCTTGAATTTGTGCTTTGTAGAAAGCGCAGGGTGGCCCGAGGGCGGCGTCCACACACAGCTACGTGCAGAAGAAAAACTACATTTCCCGACAACCTCTGTGCGGCGAGCCCCAAGGCGCCATGGGAGAGGAGTCTGCGTGACCAGCCTTCCCATTGGTGTTTCTATCGAAAGGGCCGTGTAAACTCGCGAGCGATTGGACAGATTTCTGGGCGCTCGGTGGCGCCGCGGCCCTAGCTAGTTTGATTTGTTTTTCAGTTGAGTTCTCCGACTCCGAGGCGTGGTGTGTCGTGAGTATAGATTTTCAAGTTTGAGGGACTGGGGTTCTGGAGAAATGATTCTGGGAAGAAAGGCGAGTGAGGTAGAAGTAACCGTAGAAGCAGCGTGGGAGGGAGGAACAGGACCCGTTTCGGGGTACTGCTTCGGGCGTGCTTTGGGCTGGGGACCGGAAGAGAGAGTTTCTGCAGGGGGTGGGGGCGGCTGGGGATGTGGAGAGGGAATTCGGGAACGGTGGCGGTGAGGAAGTCCAAGACGGAATGAAGTAGGAAAAAAATGACACAGTATATGGCCCCCTGGGATGGGTTCCATAGTCCCTCACCCCACGTCTATCCGCGCCTCATAATAAAACTACTTCACTGAGTTGTTGGAGGTAAATTTTGGTCTGGCATAGAGTGCTTGCCTTACATGCGGGAGACCCTGGGTTCAGTCCTCAGTATAGAAAAACAAACAGAAATCCTGTTTGGGAAAAATAGCAATTAGAGAACTTGTTTATTTTCAACAGAGAACCTTATTATATTTAACTGTTTTAGAGAATTGCAAATGGAGTGCCTTTGTAGTCAGCTAATTTTGAATGGAGACATTCAGAAAAGAGATGAAGGAGGTATTATTATTGTTACTATTAATAATAATAATTTGTTGTTTGTTTTGGTTTTTTGAGACAGGGTATGTAGCCCAGGCTGGCCTCAAACTCCCAATGATCCTGCCTCACCTTCCCAAGTGCTAAGATTACAAGTGTACACAACCATGTCTGACTAAAGAGATATTATTTAAGATTAATTTTCCTGTACAAACTAGATTTTGTTAAGTATAGTTGTGACGATTGTGGAGGGAGCTATTTCAGGAGGTAGGAAGCTATGCAGGAGGCAAGTTTTCTGGCAACTGGTTTAGGGGAGTAGAGGGAAATAAACGTGAGAGGTAGTTTGGTCCTCATGTAGAATGCCGTGAATTCTAGGCTGAGGAAATTGATTTAGTGCTGATGGCTAACCTTTTAAACACAAGTGCCCAAACTGCAACCCATAATCCACTTATTTATCACAAGGGACCAATGCTGCAAGTAAACCTGAATACTGAGGTTTTCGCTTAGGAAAAAAAAAAAAAAAAATTCGTACATTAAAATTGTCTTGAAAGAAAAATAACGTGTGCCATAGGTTTGTCACCAATACTAGCCCATAAAGAGCCACTTTATGGGCAAAAAAGATCATGTACTAGGTTTAGAAAATGTTAGCTTTATTTTGAAACAGAGTCTTGGTGTTTAGCCCAGGCTGGGCTCAAACTTGCAATTTTTCTGCTTGAGCCGTCTGAATGCTAGCGTTCATCTCCATGCCTAGCAGAAATATTAACTGTGAGCTGCTAAAAATTTGTGACTTGAGTGGCTACTTTTTTTAGGTTAACTATTTCAAGCCCCAGTGGGACAGAATAGGTAGAAATATCCAGTAATAAGTCAAGATCATGAGGTTGAGAGATTATTTATTCGACACATAATGATTAGTCTTTACCAAATGAGATTTTATTTATTGTCTTTTTGAGACAGGGTCTCACTATGCAGTTCAGGCTGGTCTTGAACTCCCTTTGTTGTCCAGTTCTGGTCTCAAGCTCACAATGATTCTCCTGCCTCAGTCTCCTGATTGCTGGGATTATAGGCATGCGCCACCATGTCCAGCCCAGCCATTTTATTTATTTCATTTGATCCTTACCCTAACCCATGACAATATGTGACTGAGGTTTAGAGAACATCACTTGCCTGAGATAAACATTAAGAAAGGACAGAGCTTTGATGCAAATCTATATCTGTTTAGTTTCTAAGTCCATGTTCTAAACTATAATATTTTCAGAAAGGGTGATTAGCATTAATCAAATTCAACATACAAGTCAAAGAGTTAGTGTTGAATGAAGGAGAATGAGCATTGAAAAGAGCAATAGAGTTTACTAATTTGGATCAAGAAGAACAACTTCGTGTGTGAAGTAGGAAAGTCAGCTTGTTAAAGAGTTGTAAAGAGAAATGTAGGCCAGGTGGGGTGGTGTACACTTGTCAGCTTCTTGGGAGACTGAGGCCAGAGGATTCAAAGTTTGAGATCAGCCTGGGGAACTTGATGAGACTTAACTGTCTAAATAGTAAAAAGGATGGGAATGAGGTTCAGTGCTCCCCAGGTTTTGGCCATGGTATCATAAGAAAGAGAAAGAAAGCAAAATGAGGTGAGGGTAGACAGCTTTTTGCAAATGTGTGGTAGTCATAAGAAGAGGGATGAGGACAGTCGGTATGAGGGGGAACAAGGCCTATAGGTTGCTGGAAAACGTCATGTTCTACCCTACTCTTAAATAGTTTGGTAACAGTGAGATTTAGCTTTAAGATGACATCATACCCATGCAGTGGAATATTATTCAACATAAAGAATGATGCGCTGCTGATACATGGTACAACATAGATCACCCTTGAAAACACTACACTAATTGAGGAAAACCAGTCACAAAAGAACTCATGCTATCTGATTTCCATTCACTCAAGAGTCTAGAATAAGGAAATCTATAGAGATTCAGTGTAGATTAGTGATTACTGGCTGGTTAGATAATTTCTTTTTCTTTTAGATAATTTCTTGCAGTGATAAAAATGTTCTAAAGTTCATTGTGATTATAGTTGCATATATCTCTAAATACACTAACATCAGTGAATTGTGCATTTTATTT